TGTTTCTCTCTCCGAGAGAGAAACATTGCGTGCCGTGTCGTGCTTATTTCGGGCGATTCAGTTCTGACGTTGAGATTTTTTATATATTTCTATGTCAGTCATGGCATGCCGAATAGTTGCAATTAACTATTAATATGGTTTCTGAGCATCGTGTGGGGTTGCGCTATCATCCAGGAATGGCTTATAGAGCTGCACATCGTAAATCGTCATCATCAGAGCTCCTACCCTAAATTGATGTCCTTGCTCGTGAAGTTGCATTCCTTAATCATGAAATTGATGTCTTTATTCGCGAAATTGATTTCCCTATTCAACCTTCATCGCTAAATTGATGTCCCTGTTCGCGAAGGTGACTTCCTTATCAGCTGAATTGATAGCCTAATCCGCCAAAAAGATTTCTGAAAGGTATAGGCAAGTTGGAGGATATCGCCCGTTCCATCGAAACGGTGCTCACCCAAAATGAAGCCTTTAAGGCTGACATTGGGGAAGGTCCTGAGGGAACCGCTCTGGCCGAGGCTTGGTTACCTGGGCTGGTTTGGGTCTATGATGAGCCACTGTATCCATATCCTGAATCAGTAATGGCGGCCGGAGAAGAGAGCACAGGAGGATGGTTACGTTCGACATTGATGTGGGCAGTGGTGGATGCTGGCACGAAGACGGAGGGAGGGCATTCTCTCGCCGGACGACGCCAGTTGAACGCCAAGGTCCAAGGAGCCGTGGCGGTGTATAGGGATGTTATGGATACAGCAGCCGAGAAGAAGCCGTTGAATAGCAGCCCTGGTTCCGTTAAGACCGAAGCGAGCTCACAGAACACCCAGAAACCCATCAACAGCGTCACGGAGGACACCACTTACTATCGAGCCACTCAACGAGCAAAGCAGTTGACGGAGTCCTGTGGTGTCGGGACGTTCGACGGCGATAACGGCAAGTTTATATCATTTATAGACAACCTACAGAGTGCTTTACGTTGCATCCCGTTTGTATCGGCGGCGGCCAAAATAGAGTTCGTATTCTTAAGTCTGAGAGGGCTGCTCTTAAATATGCCAGACGGAGGCCGGCATAGCGAACATTTACACGATGGATGCTGATGAGGGCTACCAATCGTTGATCAAAA